TAGATTTATTTAGACTAGTAAAAGCAGAGAGAGAATTCTGTTGTGATAGCAGTGTTTCACCAAAGAGAGATGGAGGACGGGAGGAATTCAAGTACAGGTGAGAAAAAGAAGGTGATGGTGGCGATTGATGAGAGTGATTGTAGCATCTACGCCTTGGAATGGACTCTTAGCAGCCTTCATGAATCCATTGCAAATTCGGAGTTGTTGATTTTTACAGCACAGCCAATAGCTGATTATAGCTATCTCCATGCATCTTCCATGGGCGCTACCCGTGAGTTTCTTTCCCTCTTGGTTCTCTTTTTAATTATTCCGAAATATCCGAATTTTGGGTCTCGTGTATGAATTTTTTTTAATTTGTTTTGGGTCTGATGAATGGAAAATGTTGATTAATCATTAATCTTTGATGAGTGCTTCCTGGTGTGTGTTTCAGATCATTAAGAGTTATCAGTAACTAATTAATTTCCCTAGCTATGCAAGTTATACTTTAATGGCAGGTTCAGTTTTAGTTTTTACATTTATTACCCTGGTTCTATGACCCATGGATTATGGAAGGGAAAATAGGTGCAAACTTTTTGATAAGGTGGTGGAAAAAATGAGAGTGATTTGGTGTTAGGTGGCTTTCATCAAGGCCGTGGAAGGGATTGGGAAAGCCTGCCTGAGTTGTTTGGCAATATACTAATAGGTACTTAAAGCTTGCCCCAAGTGTAACTGAGAAGGTTTGGCAATATTTGTAATTTGAGGCTGCTTATCAGAAGTGACTGCTTCTGAACTGAAAACATGGCCTCGATTTAATTTATTATGGTCATTAATCGTAAATCTTTTTCGGTTTCTTGTCTTAGGACTTAGAAATCTTTTTCGGTTTCTTGTCTTAGGACTTAGAAATCTTTTCAGTTTGGATTGGCCATTTTTTCAAAAACAAATTTTTCAAATACAATAACTCGAAAACATTTCATCCATACAATATATCAAAAAATTCAAAAAATTTTTATAGTAAAAATTTTTCATATACACTGCTACGGTAACATTTTTTAAAAACACCTCCAAAAACAGCTAATCCAAACGGATTATGTTGTTTTTGGAGGTGTTTTTGGAGGTGCCTAATTTCACATAGTTAGTTTCTATTACAGCACCTGAACTCGTTAAGAGTTTTCAAGAACAGCAAAAGAGAGCAGCAGATGCTCTGCTGGAGAAAGCCAAGAATGTATGTGCCAAACATGGGGTAAGGAATCACTAACAGTTATTATTAATTGTGATTTCCTTAGATTTTAGTACCAAACAGACGCTTTTCATTTTTCAGTTATGTGTGGGGTTAAATCCAACTTCCCTGAGGAAGGCATCATGTTATATGGTTGTAAAGCTAACTAATTAGTGTAGCAACTGTAACACATTTGATTTGAAGTTCACAGATGCACTTTAATTGGAAGCTCAATTTCTTGAAATCTCAGGTAACTGCTCAGACAGCAACAGAAGTGGGAGATCCTAAAGATGCCATTTGTGAAGCAGTAGAAAAATTCAAAGTGAGCATGCTAGTGTTGGGCAGCCATGGTCGGGGAGCCATAAAGAGGTCAGTCTGGCCACCTTTTATACATATTTGAGGCTCCATCTCTAAGAAATGAAAATGCAATCCACAAAAACATGCAGTTTCTGGAATACCTTTCAAGGTTCTATCTTTCACTGTGTATGAGTTTCACGTTTCAGAGTCTGGAGCATTGATCATAGACCTTATAGCATTGTACATACATGAGCGTCTGGTTTGTGGCATTGTCCTATTTGCCTATTGGACTGATGGAAGTTAATTTGCAACTTGGATTTCAGGGCTTTTCTGGGGAGTGTCAGCAACTACTGCATCCACAATGCCAAGACCCCTGTTCTTGTCGTAAGGAAAAAAGATTGAAAGAGCTGGCTGTAAATCGTGTTAAACTTAATTTTGCTGCAAAAACCAGTGAAGGGTGCATACTCCTAAAGTTGTACATCCCAGATTTCGCGAAACTAGTTTGTTATCCTGTGTTAGTTCTATGAAGATGCAGTGAACAGTAAAAAAATTGTCCTAGGAAATGGATATCCCAAATAATGGAGGAAGACTTGTATGCAATATTCATTCATCCTTGCTATGCTTTTTAAGTGTCTACGCTATAGGAAGATGACAACAAATATACTAGATGCTCCATGTATGCTATTTGGCAGTGGTGCTATAGTGTGCAGCGTCAGTATCAATTATCTATCACCAAGTAATTATATCTGTGTGCCACTGGCCATTTGGTCCAGTGGTCATCACCATTAAAGGTGATGCTGGAGGTCAGGGGTTCAATCCCTGCCTCCCACAAATTTGTCACAATTTGTGGCGGTCTTAATTGACTTTCATCGATGGAGTCTGTACTCACATCGAACCCCCTCCCCTTCCCCTTAGACTAGGCTAGATTAGGTTATAGGACATCTATCATTTGTGTAAGTATATCCAATGTTTTCAGGACCGGACCGGCCGGTTCGACCGGTTGGACCGCGAACCAGCCATGTCACCGGTCCGGTCTAATGCTAAAGCCGGAAGTTTATGGAGAACTGTTGAAACCCGGACGAACCGTGCGAACCGTTAAGAACCGTGAACCGGCGGTTTTTTAAATTCTTCAACAAAATATCAAGAATGATGTAGCTAAGATTTGAACCTGGGTCTCCAAGTTTGGATATAACAATCTCACCGCTAGACTGTAGTTAAGTTTGTTGAGAATTCTACTTGACTAAAAAATATATTAAAACATCAAGTTCTTCTCTTATTTTTTTTTCAATTTTTTCTTCTTAACCATTTTTAACCCAAATATCCACAACAAGATTTTCTCAAGTCTTCACCATAATTATCAGGTTATTATCTTTAGCAAATTGTAAACAAGTTGAAAATTTCAACTTTTCTTGTTTTCCAACATCTTAGTAAGTTTAATTTTTTTCTTTTCAAGGTTTTTTTCTATATTATTATCTTTAGTTGATTTTTTGCATTTTCTTCTTTTTCCCCTCAATTTTCATATGTTTCCCTCATTTTTGTTTTATTTTTATTCGATTAATTAAGGATGAAATTTTTGCAAAAGTAGTGCACATCCGTGTAGGAATTGGGTATGAATTACAAATAATAACATTGGGCTGGTCAAAAATATGGTAGTTGGCACATAATCGAAGCTATTGATAATTGAATTTAAAATAATTAATGGTATATGATCATTGAATTTAATATAACATGTTAATTAGTAATGTTTAGTAGCAATTAATTTTTTATGTGTTTAACTGTATATTTGTTTTTCAAAAATTTTTAGTTTTTTTTAGTTTGAGCAATTAGATTTATATTTTTATAATAAAATTTTAACTTTTTCAGCTTAAGTTGATGAAATTGTGAAGGTGGTGTGGTTGCTTATCATGCCACTGATAAAAGTTTGCTATTCAAATAGTTTGTCTTAACTTGAACTCTTTTATGGATTTTTTTAAGGGTTGTAAAAGAATTTCAATATTTAATTTATTTATTTTTTGTGTTTTTATTTGTGATAATTGGTGAACATTTGGATTGTATCTATTTATGTTTATAATGAATTTATGAAAACTTGTGGTGAATTATGATATTTTAATTATATTTATCATTCCATGTTTTATGTATAACTTTTAGAAAATTTATTATTATCATAACTTAAATTAAGTTATGTTGGTAAAGTTCAAGTGTAGAATGAAACCTGCTTAGTACTTAACACCAAAAAAAAAAAAAAAAAAACAGTGAACCTTTGAACCGGCCGGTTGGACCGGTCGGACCGGTCGAACCTTGAACCGGCCACCTCTCCGGTTCACTGACCGGTCCGAGTTTAAAAACATTGAGTATATCACATGTCATGTCAAGCGATACACATGAAGCATGAAATATGTTTATGGTGTGATAATAACCATATTCTTATGGTAAAATAGCGTTGATGGCTGTACTAAGAAATAAGAAATTATATTGTGCATGTTAAAGTAGTATAAAAATAAGTTCTTTCGAAGAAACTAGTTTTATTAAAACCATGATGTTGTGTATGGGGGAAATTTTAAACTTCATCAATGTCGTTTCACAATTTGCAGTTACATTTATCAGCAAATTGTTTCAAAATTTGCAAATTACAAAGTACATACCTCAAAATGCTGAACTTGCTTGACAAATTGGTGAAATCATCGATTTATAGCCACGAATTCTCTAACTCCGCGAATGAAGAAAAAAACTTGTGTTTCTTCTTTCCTCTTTGTATAAACTCTTAATTATGGCTGTCTAAAATCACCACACATTAACGTGGCAATGTGCCATTCATGCCCAGTTATGCTAAAGAAATTTTGTGTGTTAGATGAACATACATCAATGTGCTTCCCAAAAAAAAAAACATATATATTAATGAAATTAGGAATAATGGTTGACTAAAGTGCTTAACTAATTTTTTGGCTATATTATAAGTCAATATTCTACTTTTTTTTTTTTTTTCTAATGAAGTCTTGTTTCCTCATAATGATTTCTCAATCCTCCCTTTCCTAAATGCAATAAAGATAAGAATTAATCTTCTATATATACAAATTTAAAATACAAATTTTATTTATGTATTATTTATCCAACTATAACACCGTCTACAGTGTTAGTCTTTTATGGCTCTAGCGATAAACCCACTCCCAGCCCAACACAAACTAGAAGTATTGAGCCCATTATTATGACAAAGACTGAGCTGGCGCATCGACTCTTTAGCCTTTCTGATTTTGGGCTGGCATGGAACAGCACGTGAGATTTCACGTGCAGTAACATGAAATTAACGTCAGTTAAATATATCCCGCCAAAACCCCTGCCGTTAATACTATTTTGTCCCCTGACCATCGAACTCCAGATTTGCATTGTCGTTTCCTTTTCCTTATGAATCTATTCTTCTGGATAAAAATTGCACCGCCCCTTTTCAGGAGAGAGAATTGTTGCAGTATTTCTGCTGTGGGGAAGCAATAATAAATCGAATAGCTTAGCAATCATGGAAGCGGGCGCTGCGAGGGGGGCTGTTGAGTTCCGTGAGGATATTAGAAGGGTAATGTTGGCCGTTGATGAGCATGAAGGAAGTTTCTATGCATTAGAGTGGACTCTGAAGAATCTGCACGACTCAATCATCAAATTCCAACCTGGTGATTTTCACTGCTCAGCCCTCATCTGAGTATAGCTATATCCATGCTGTCGAACGTAAGTGCTACAATTTCTTGTTGTCTAATGCTATCTTGTGGTCATTTAAGTTCTTGGGAAATCACGTGAAAATGGGGTGCTTAAAGTTCTAATACCGAAAAAAGAGTACAATAGTGGTTTCTTGCTGTAAAGCAAATTCATACTTACATTTGTAACACCTTGCTATGCTAGTTCCTTTTTTTAAAAAAAAAAAAAAAATTAATAGTAGGGGAGATTTGGATTTAAGAAGCGGGGAGGGAGTAGGGAGAGGATTTGAACCTAGGATCATACTAATACGTTAGTTGTTGACTCGTGTCTGAAATTCCTACAAATTTGCTCAGGTTGAACTTAAATTTCACCAGTAGAAAGAATTTTCAACTCCTAATTGGTAAAAATTTTGAAGAGTAATATCACTATGACTTCAAATTTCCTTGCGACTTTTTCGACAGAGCTGGAGTCGCAAGTCGTAACAATTGAAAGCGTTTAAGGAATGTGTATCTCTGACATTACTAGCCTTGAAATGCAACCAGTGGATTTCTGCAGCAACTAGATAAAGAACTCATTTGATCTGCGACCAGTTTCATCTATGACATGGTTGAAAATTTTCATCTGCTTAAGGCTTTTGCTTTGGACAATAGTAGTATACGCTAGTATCCATTTCTGGCTTTAATATCGCCTTGCTTGCACTTTACATAGCGTTGGGATTTCAAAGTATATTCAACGAATCTGTCAGTGCTCTATACTCATTATTTATTTTTGGACTTTTTGCAGCTCGAGAGGTGAGGAGAGAAGTTCAAGAGGATCAAAAGAAGACTGCTGCTTCCCTGTTGGAGAATGCCCGGGAGATTTGCATCAGGCATGGGGTAGAAATTTTAGTGATACTTATGAGATTGTTATTTCTGGTTAAGGTTAAGGAGTATGTGCATCTCATTTAAAATAAAAGCCAGAAGTTTGTGTATATGTAAACAAGATGGTGTTCATTAGCGTAGGTTATCAGAATGATTTAAATTTGGAGAAGATAATTGAAGTAGTTTAATTGACTGATCTTGATGGTTCTGTCCTCTTGTCCTTTTTCTGTATGGGATCAATTAAATGCGTGAAAATTGTCATAGTCGTGCCTAAAAAGCTTCTCAAACTATTCTTGATAAAACTTTTTCCCTGTTCTAGATAACTCCAGAAGCAATTACAGACGTTGGAGATCCAAAAGATGCAATACAAGAGGAGGCAGTGGAAGGGCTAAATATTCAACTGCTTGTGGTAGGCAGTCATGGTAGGGGTGCTCTAAAGAGGTTTGTCATTTTAACTTCATGAAATAGCCATGACTTTTAATATACAACTCATTGATGATCCAAGACTAGCCTTTGGCTCCTTAAGCTAGAAAATGATCATGACGTGGAAGAATTTCACATGCAATTCTTTCTTCATCATACTTCTTTTACCTCTGATTAGTATCTATCATTCTTGCGTGTTGCATCTGTCCTTCAACCAAGATTAGGTCTTTTCAATTAGATCAAAATACCCTGTTCTTGGATTTTTCCGAAGTGTGCTGTCTTTAGAAGAAGTTTCCCTCAATTAATGAAGTGGGAGATTGAAAGTATGCCAATCTTCCTTCACCGCACGTTTCTTACACATTCTATGGAAATCCAACAGGGCTTTTCTTGGGAGTGTTAGCAATTACTGCGTTCACAATATGAAATGCCCGGTTCTTGTGGTGAAGAAACCTTGAGCTATAGTACTAAAGCTGCAGTTTAGTTTTGCAGAAGTTTAGAAAGAGCTTTTCCTGTAATTAGTGTACATGATTTGGAAGAAATAAAAGTCATTTGTAAAATCTTTTAAAGATGTGTGTAACAAGATCTGGCTTCTGTTGATAAAGGACAACAAGTCTTGTAGAATATGCGCATGTATGGCTCGAGTAACTGAAAACAAATGCCATCACTTCTGTTACTTTATTTTCTATATTTTACAACTGTTTTTGGCAAAGCAGCTGTTTTTCCTGTTAAAGTTCATATTGATGTAGGTACATGAAGAGGGAAATATTGCACCCAAGATCAAAAAAAAAAAAATGGTATCAATGTTTTGATTTTTGCAAGCTGTTGTAGGTTCTTTATTTTTGGTCTGGTTCACTTGTCTAACCCAAGCTTCAGTAGTGCCTTGAACCTGAGAAGCTGCAAATGTGATTCTCTTCTGAATCTTTTGGTCCAGTAACTCCAATCCTTCACAAGTAGAGTTTGAATGCTGTGGCAACAGCAACTTTTGATTTGCCTGAATATATCATCATAATCACTTGATCAAATTCTCCGTTCAATAAGTCCTGATTTCCACGTGTATGGTTGTTCTCTTTTTTATTATTATTATTATTAATGGATGTCTTAATCTACTCGATACAACTTGAAAAAGTGTTCCGATTTTCTTAAATCCACTCATTCCCAGTAAAAGTGGTTTTCCTTTAATCTTGCTGGCCTCCTGTTAATGGTAAATAGCTTTCCTCTCAGCTAATGAGATTGGAGGGCTTGGTAAATTCTAGGGTTCCAAACTTCAATTGCAGACTAAATCCACTTATTCTCTTTTTTAAATTTGACACCGACTACTTAAGTAATGCAATACCTAATATTCCCGCACCAGACATATTAGGTGTTCCTTGGAAAATGACAAAAGATTTTATCAGTAGTAGTGTTAAACTAACACTGGCTGCCATTGTGAGATGGCCAAATATCATTTTCATCAGTTCGAATATCGAGCAAATCTTGACAGAGTAGTTTCGTGTAATATGACGAAATCTTGTTTTTTCTCGCAACAATAATCTATCTACACATTATGAGGGGGAGGGGAAGCCTGAAGAAGCATGTATAGGAGTTGAAAAATGAACCACCAAACTAGATGAGTGCAATAATCAAAGATACTTATATATGGGAGTTGTGGGTGAATCACCACATTATACTTGTTCTGCACTAAGCGGAGTTTGAATCCCCAACCTAGTGTAAATGCCCAATGGTTAACCATGTGAGATTGAAGCACAGAAGAAGTTGGTTAAATTGGATAATGGATATAATTGGATCGATTCGTTTATATTCAATTAAATAAATGGATATAAATAGATATCCGTTTAATAAATGGGTATTGATATATTCAATTATCCATTTATGAGTCACTTAAATTCTACTTATTTTTTATTGTTATATGTTATTTAATAAGAAATAACGATATTTTATTGTTATTAGATTATTAAAAATTTTAAGTTTATTTGCTTAACACTTATTAAAAGTTGATTTTAAATGTATAATTATTTTTACATGGGTATAAATGGGTGAGTAAAGTTAACCTAGCAAGATTACGGATTCGACTAGATCAAAAGAGTGTTCTGACAACTCCTTTGGATTTTTTTGACTACAGGTGGGGGCTCGAACCCTTGACCTACAGCCCAAAGAAAGACTTAAATCCCTTTTTGGTGACCATTGAGCCAAAGCTCAATAGTTTTTTACATGGAAGCTAGGTGCGAATATTTTTTATTACTGGGTTTGTTTGGATAGAGTATTATTTGAAATATTAGTTGGAATAATTGTTATAGCACTTTCAATGTATGTGAGATAAAAGGGTGGTTGAAAATATAAAAAGGTGAGTTGGAAAATATGTTTATAATACAAGTGAAATATTATTTGAAAAAATTTGATATCCAAATTTTGTGGAGACATGGAACAAATTGAACAACTTTCCAATTTGGACAGAAATTATATAGTTCCTTACAAGTTAGGTACATGAATTTATGTATGATTTTATGATTTTCGCCTCCTTAGCTGAAAATTGTCTAAGGCTGTAAAGTTTCAAAATTCAACCCTGTAGTGTAAATTTTTCTACAAATATAATTGGGATCAAAGTATCGATGACGCATGAATATTGGAAGCCCCCAATGTTCAAAAGAATCTTCCATCATGGAATGCAACTCTCAGCCCATATGGCTCAAGACTTGTAAAAGAATTCTTTATAATTAAGTTGACTGTACAGAGCGGACTTATTAGTTACCTGTTTTTAGCTTCCAGCTAAAAACAAACGCTCTCATTAGTGTTCTTTTGGATCATTTTGATACTGAAAGAGTACATTCCATGAACGTGACGTGTTCACCTGCTAAAGTACAAAAACAAGATAAACAAGAAAAGGATGGGTCTTTTAACATGTGGAGTACTTTTCTATAATTGCTATAGTACGCAAAATTATGGCCTCAAAATCTAATCATAATCATGGGTTTTTTTTTTGGTGTGTGTGTGTGTAGGGTCGTGGCGCGGGGGCGGGGGGGGGGGGGATGATGGGGATTTCATGTAAGGTCGGACAAATCAATTATAATAAATGTTTCTTGCTGCTGAAAAAACAAAAACCAAATCAAGATCTCTGGTGTTATGAAACAATTAAAAGTATGGATGTCCCTTTGTATTCCCAAGAGAATTAATTCATGATTTATGGCTATATTATGTATAGATGTTACAATCCATAAATCTATTCATGTAGTGGAGAAACCGTTTCATAAGTTTTTTCATATTATTGTAGTAGTGGGTGTTTAATAAGATTAATGTATCTTTAATCTTGTAGTACCTATATATAGAGGTACATTGACACCCTTTGGAAGGACTTTTGTATCTTATTGGAATATAAGAATATCACTCTCCATTTCTCTACTTCTTTCTCCAATATTTCATTTGATATTATAATAACTTATTTTATTAGTTTTATAACACGTTATCAGCACGAGTCTCTACTTTTGAGCAAAAGGTGAAAACGGAGCCTCTACCTTGAGTAAAAGTGAAACAAGAGATTCTGCCCGTATTTTTTTTGGCAATTTCTGTCTACTTATTGAGGTAAATTTTTGACACATAAATTTATTTCAATTTCTTATGGCTAACATTTGAATGATCGAAAAATACAAGTGCCTATTGCTGAACAATTACTAAACACAAATATATACTGGTTGACATCTTTGAGGTAATATTTCTCCTTTTAATTCTACTTATTTATCTTTAAAATTATTTGTTATAAATACTTATATTCTGATGCAATGAATTTTGGAGATGCTATTATAGAAAATCAATTATATTTGAGGATCTACTTGTCCTTTGAAATATTTAAAGAAAAAGATTCGATCACCTGAAGATGGTCATTCTTTAACAAAAAGATTTGGCCACCAGAAGATGGTCATTATTTCAAAATTTGGTATGATAAATTTACTTATGGCTGTAAGTACATGATTTTGTTATGATTAGAATTATTTCTTAGTTGAAAATAATATTCTCTACATATTTCTCAAATATGCTCTTGTAGTAGCAATATTGAGAGAAAATTTGAGCCGTATTTTGTACTTATTGCATACTAGTTCTAGTCCATTCCCAGAAGTGAATGCGACTAAATTTCAATTTATTAGTTATGGTTGCTGCCATGACTATGATTTTGGTAAATATATATTTTACCATAATAAGAGAAAAAATTACCACTTGAAGTGGGATAATAATGATAAGGACAAGAAAGTATGAATCCTGAAAGATAAATGTCCTGAAGTACATTTGACGAATCAAAATTATAATTGCATCTTCACATGTCCAATTTCTTTAAACACCCTGAAGGTGTATGATGATTAATTTAATTTATGATAGTAATTGATTTTTCTTCCTGAAGAAGAAATGGATGTTAAACATTTGGGATCAAAGGATTATGGTGATGATATTTGTCTCATAAGAATTATGGTGACAATGATATGTGTCTCATTAATAAGTGCTACTATATACACTATATTCCAATGAGAGAGACAAACACAATCAGTGGTAGTGTTTAAGTGATTGAAAGCTCCAGAAGAGCCACTATTATATTTCTCCCTGTAGGAGAAAAGTTTATCATAAATAAAACACTACTTTTTACGATGTCTCGAAAAATTTATTGAATTTGAATATCCGTCGAAATGGATATCAAATTGAGACACTAAATGAGACAACAATAGAGATCGTGTTTAGAAATCAAGTGAGATAAATGTTAATTATATCATAATAATCATTCGAGAGAGAAATGGTTATCGATATAGTTGTCTTCATTCTCATTTAATTTATAATCATCACCTGCAGTAAACCAGAAGTTTACTGATCCCAATAGATATATGATTTGGCAAAAGTGAAAATATTTGAGAGCCAACAAATATTTATACATACCCCTTTATATTATATATGGCTCCAAAAGAAATTTAAAATTTATGTCGGGTATGAATCAGATTTTACGATTAAATATCGTAAAATATTGATGGGTGATCTATTGAATGGTTTATTTATTCTGATAAACTATGATTCCCGATATTAGGGGGAGAAAGAAATCAACCGAAAGGAAATCATCTGAAAAATTGAATTTCCTCGATCCTCATACAAAATAATGTGAACTAGAAGTTCAAGAAATTCTTCTTGTAGAAAGTTATATTTATCGACTCCAGAAAAGTCATTAAATCAATTATTCCTGCAGGAAATACTCTGGTTAAAATTGATGTCCCTGAAGGACATGCACAAGTGCTATAAATAAATTTAAGGCCGGCCTACCTAAATAAGGTATAAATTGATTTCGAATAACTCCGGAGATTAAATAAATGTCATGACAAAATTCAACCTCTTGAAGAGGTTGCTCCTGAAGAGCCAACTCCTGAAGAGAATGAAATCATAAAAAAAAAATTTAATTGGAGCCTAATGAAATGTAACACTTGATATTATAGAAGTTGATGAGGATCATGAATCTAAATCGGTTGATGAATGTCGGTATAGAAATGATTGTTCAAAGTGGAAAGATACGATCCAATCTAAATTGGATTTATTGGTTAAAAGAAAAGTTTTTGGACCTGTAG